ATACAGTATATATTTTGAAAATATTTACATGTATATATTTATATTCATATAATTTATATTATATATAAATATATTGAATATTTTTTATATATAAATGCATGCATGTGTGTGTATTTATATAGACATAATAAATATACACAGTACACACGCACATATTATGTAAACAAAAACTTTTATTTTGGATGCGATTAATCGTTTGACAGCACTAATTCAAATGCAAAATAGCCTACATTCGATTTTTTTTTTCAAAGGTATTTAAATGCAAAATAGTAATACTGCCCATCCCTGCATGTATGTATTTTGCCTGGAAAAAAAAATGTACGTCTATTTTTAGTAGTCTAATATCTTTACAGAGACATGTAGAATTCAAAGTGTGCCATAAAACAAACATTACAGCAGTTAAATAGGAGATGAACACCCATCCCCCCGATAATAACAGACTAAAAGTCACAGAAAGACAATTATTGTCAAAAAAGGTAGGCTATCTGAGAAAGCAAATGTGTGAACGTGCTTTCCCTTTTAAGCAACAAGTGTTAATTGTTAATCTGACCAAACATTATGTTACTTAGGCTACACATAAAAGATTTTTAATGTTTAACTACTGAGTGAAAGAATTCGATGTTTATATTAACAATATACTACCAATATAGATTACGTTATAGCAACATCAGCACATATGTCAGTGGTATTTCGTGCTTTCTAAATTCTAATATTTTTGTACCTCATCATTTATAGTCCTATGAGACGAAATGACGGTAAATCAGAGGTCCAGTTGTAATAAAAGAGCGATCAAAGGTTATCAAGAGAGCCAAGGGACTCTGGCACAGACAGAAGCAGCAGCAGATCACACCCCCTCCCAACAGCAGCTCCACATCATTCTCCACCGGCGCTCCGCGACTAAACGCCTCGCCACATTCACTCGCCTTTCCATATAGCCTGTGATGGATATGCTGGGGAAGAAAGAGCGGAGAGGCAGGGATGTGAAGGGCTTGTTGAAGAGGAACTGGATTCTCATAGCAACCATCAGCTCGGTGATACTGGGTAAGATGGGCTGGAGCGCCACATTTCCACGCATCGCGCATTTCGCTTCATCGCTGTGCGCTTTCACGTCTCATGCCGTTAATTATGTGTCCAGTGCTGTTGTTTTATTTTCTCTGTCTGTGCTTGCTGTTAGATGGATCTGCAACGCCGTTGTGATATCATTCAATGGCTGGTTTGACAATAAGGGCAGTTAAAGTGTTTATGTTTGTTCGATGCACATATCTGCAGGTGTGTTGAAGGGTGAATGTGATGAATGAAGGCATTGATCTCTGTGTGTGTGCGTCTTGATATTTTACTACTGCCACAGAGAAACGTGACCAGACTTCCAGTATGACACAGTAAAA